TTTCTTTTTCTCTCTTCCCTCCTCCTTTTCTTTCTTTCATATAACATTTTCTTAGAGTATATTCATTGTACATATTAATGATTTTCATAAAGACATCTTCATATAAGTATATTACTTGTACTTCAGACTTATTCATTTCTCTTCTTTCTCCATATGTTTGCCATTCCTGATGTGGGATGTGCTTCCCTTTAATTTCTTCATACAATCTCACGTTTATTTTCATGTCATGCATGCGTATACAATGGGCTGGTTAGTTTTAACAGAATTTGACACAACCTAGAATTACCAAGGACAGGAGTCTTAATGAGGAATTATCTAGATCAGGTTAACCTATGGACTTGTCTGTGGGGTTGTGTTGGTTAATTGATGTAAAAAGTCCTAGCCTACTGTGGGCAACACCATTCCCTAGGCATAAGGTTTGAACAGTATAAGAAAACTAGCTGAGAACATAGCACACTATTAAGAAAATAGGGTTGCATACATTTATTTCATTCTGCTCTTGGCTATGGATGTGATGTAACCAGCTGCTCAGATTCCTGCCTTGGCTTTTCTCAATGATGGGTTGTAGCCTGGGAGTTTAAGCCAAGTAAATTCTTTCTCCCATGAGCTGCATTTTGTCAGGGTATTTTATCATGGCAACAGAAATGACACCAGAACATATGGTATTATGTGGAACAATCTTTGTACACTGCAAATATGTATTACTCTCATTGGTTAGTAAAGAGCTGACTGGTCTATAGATGGGCAGGAAGAGACTGGGCAAGAGAGTCAGGCCAGAAGGACACCGGGAAGAAGGGTGGACTCCGGGGAGTCTCCAGAGACCCAGGAAGAAGAAAGACAAACGTCCTGTGTTGAAAGAAGGTACTACGTGGCAGAGGGTAGATAAGAAACATGGGCTAATTTAAAATGTAAGAATTAGCTAGTAACAAGCCTGAGCTATTGGCCAAGCATTTATAATTAATATTTAGCCTCTATGTGGTTATTTGGAAGTGACTGCCAGAATACAGGAAAGCTGTGCCTGCAATATTATAGGTATAACATAATATAACATGTTAAAATACCTACCTGTATAAAATGTAGGATCCACAAATGAAATAATGCATGATATATGGTTTTTTTGAGTCCGGCTTATTTTGCTCACTATGGTAGTCTCCAATTGTGTTCGTTTTCTGCAAATGACTGACTAGAACTTCATTGTATGTATGTGTGTCACAATTTCTGTATTCCTCCCTCTCTTCCTGGGCATAAGCTAAACCTGTACATCAGCTGTTACGGATAGTGCTGCAATAGACATGATCTTCCAAGTATGCTTGTGGGAATACCACTATGGGATACATATCTGAAGAGTTTTAATATAGCACACCACAGAGTTTTCTTTCTGAAAGCAGTTGGTAGAAAATGAAATGGGGTCTCAGAGTCAAACCCAAGGATTTGTTTCTCCAGACTGGGCAATCTAATATTACCCCAGAATGATTTGGGATAAGGGATATCCAACCCAAAATAAGATATTTTTATTAAAAACAAATGGATTAAAAAGAAAGAAAAGAATGGAAGAACAAGAGAAGGGAAAGGAGAGAAAAGGAGGGAGAGGAGAGACTGGACCACCAGGAAAGTGAAATGGAATGAGGTGGTGTAGTGACCAGCAGGGTCCACAAGACAACGACCCAGACACAGCTTTTCTGTGCCCATAGAAGTGCTTTCCAGATTTTTTATGCATTTGAAACACTGGGGAAATGTGTGCATTCTTAATACCCATGTTTCATCCTTATTTGGATACACTTGAATTTTAAGGGTGGGATCTAGGGCCTTTTATTATTGCAGTGTACAACAATGCTCGGAGACAGATGTGTCTCCCGTGGGGTTGTCAAAGTACATATATTAAGGTGCCGTGGACATCCGTGCAACAAAGCCCCTCAATGCTGGCAAAACTGGTTTGGACAAGAGCACCATGGTAGATGGGTTCCATCTTGGAATCCCATTGGTAGATTAGGGGTGGGTATCTAGATGTGTGCAGCTCTTTAGGAATTTATGGTACTTGTCCCATAAATGGAATCTAAGGATTTTGGAGTGGTGGTTTTAAATCTGTTTTTTAAAAATCCTGCAGACATGGAAGTGGGGCTGAGAAAGGTTTAGCAGTCAGTGTTACCCCTGACTGCTCCAGTGTTATGGCCTCCAAGCTTCGGAAGTATGACTGCTTCATGTTTGGGACCTCCAGGTAAAAAATTTTAGAAAGAAGACTTAGAGAGAGAGAATGAGTGAGAACTGCTGACTCATTGATCTAAAGAGAGGAGATACTGGGCAATTATGGGAAGGAACTCAGCATAGATTTCCATTTTTAAATGATTGGAAAAGAAATATGAAACATGAAAATGACACAGAATTCAAATTCCATGGTCCACAAATAGAAATACATTGAATCGCAGCCACGCCATTCATGTGGGGCTTGTCTCTGGAGGCTGGGCTGATAGCTCAATGGTGAGACAACTGCTGCATGACCCTCTCGCAGGACATATTTGAAATTTGTAAAAGAAGAAATAAATGTCTCTTATTTGGGGGGATTGGCTTTGCAGTTTCTCTATTTCTATCGCAAAGAAAAGTTAGAAGAAAGCATGTATGCCTGTCATTTGCAAAAAAAAAAAAATACTTTGTGTATGCATTCAGTAAGTGACTCATTGTAGACCTGCTTTTTTCCCCGTCCCAACTTCTGCCTTCTTGCTTTGGGAGGCAAATGTACAGTTCTGTCTTTTCCTCTTCAAAGACTCTGTTTTAGCGCGGTGGTGGCTCACATCAAAGCAGCACATAAAGCAAAAAGAACTTCATGACCCCACAGACATATAGCCCCCTCTGCTCACAACCTCTTTGAAAGCTCTTCAACTAGGGATGACGCCTCATGTGCACTCCCCTATAAATGCTGGAATTTGAACTTTCCTGATTTGTGCAGGTAATTGCAGCCCCTGTGAGCTCAAGAGCACAACAGCCTTGTCCTGTCCGTAAGACAGCGCTTCTCAAAACTCCTCCTCCTTCAGCTCTTTAAATTCTTTCTGCTCCCATCTTCCATATTACCTTAGCCTGCTGTAGGTGTGAGGAGAAGCTTGGTATAAATGAGTTTATTCGTGAGGTTCTGCATTAACCACTACCTGCTTAGAAGAAGCTTCTGTGACTAAGGTTGAGAGCACCATTAATCTATAGGTATAAAAATCTATAATTATAAGCATAAATATTTGCAAGGCAGTTTGATGTGACTATTTAGCAACAAAAATAGTTAGTTCTTTCCTAGGACCTATGAATGTAGGAAGAAGACCACTTGTTTGTACCCTGCTGCCCAGCCCTGAAATCATCACACAGAAACTATATTATTTAAATCACTGATTGGCCCAATATCTCTAGCTTCTTATTGGCTAACTCTTACATCTTAATTTAACCCATCACCATTAATCTGTGCATCACCATGAGGTCATGGCTTACCAGCAAAGTTTTAGCACGTCTGTCTCAGCCAGGAGCTCCATGGCTTTTCCCTGACTCTGCCTCCTTTATCTCAGCATGCAGTTTAGTTTTCCCAGCCTACCTAAGTTCTGCCCTATCAACAGGCCAAGGCAGTTTCTTTATTAACCATTGTCATCCACAGCATACAGGGAAGAATTCCACCTCATATGAACTCCCCATCAAAGCCATGGGCTTTGATCAGGCATAAATTCTATCCCAGGGAGAAGTCCTGAAATCTGACTGTGCAATCATTGGTTTCCTTCATAACAGTTATGCTATGTTGGAGCCAGTGGGTATGTTTTGGCTAGAAGTGCTATTAAAGCATGCAGAGCTAGTGCTAGAAAAGACCACTGCTGTCTTCCCCACTGGCCGTGTAGCAATGTTCAGCCCTGGCCAGCAGATGGCAGTCTCCTAGCAGTTGATCTCTCCGAGTCCCGCAGCCAAAGTATAAGATTTCTTACCATCTAGTTCTGGTGGGCAACCAAAAGCCATGGCAAGAGCCTTTTTATTGTGGGTTCCTTGAACAGTAACTCATAGAGAGGTACTAGATACTAACTTCTAGGGTGAAAACTAGTACGTCCAGAGATCGTCTCAGGAGAGCCCTGTGAAAGAGCTGGCATTTCAGCTTCCCAGGAATCTAGGATGGAAGGTGTCCAGTGACCTTGATCCTGTGCAAAGAGAGGGCAGCCACTCATAGGATGGGGATTTTGCTGACCAACAGTGTAAGATTGGAACCAGAATGCAATTTTTGTGAATTAAAATGCTAGAAAATTCATATAAGTAGTCTTTTCTGTTTTCCCAGACAATATGCTCTACTGTGTATAAATGGTGCCTCAAGAAAATAAGGAAAAATTGTTTTAAATCCCAGCACTCGGGAGGCAGAGGCAGGCGGATCTCTGTGAGTTCGAGACCAGCCTGGTCTACAGAGCTAGTTCCAGGACAGGCTCCAAAGCCACAGAGAAACCCTGTCTTGAAAAACAAAAACAAAAACAAGAAAACAAAAACAAAAAACCCAAAACAAAACAAAACAAAAAACAAACAAAAAACAAACAAACAAAAAAAGGTACTAGCGTATTAACGTGTCTGGGGTACCCCCATATCTAAGGCACATCTAAGAGGGATTCCTTTATTAGCATGGTCTAGTAGAGGTACCGCCAGCGTTGTAAGGTTGAATTCCCGTTCTGGTCTTTGTCTTGACGGTGGCCACAAGCTTTGACTGTTGTCTGTTGTAATATATCACTTAAATTATCCGGTCAGGTCACTGAGAAATGTCTGTGCATGTCATGTCTTTGGGTGTTTAAACTACCAGATCTACAGGAAGTGTGGTGGTGTCATTTCCGACATCCCCCTCAAAACCAGTAAGAATGAGAATATTGATCATTTTAAACAGATTCATGTTTCACTCCCGCTCAAACGGTGCGGCTGAAAGCAGCAGAGGCCAGACAAGGCTTGTGAAGCTTCTAGCAGTTAGCAGTGGAAACCATGTTACATTGGTTCTTCCTTTCCTTGTCTCATAGGTCCAACCGAAGCCAGGACTTGGTGTTAGAAATGCTGAGTGCTCCTTCCTGAATGGCAGCCTCAGCGGTGACGTGCATCGACAGTGCTCCAGGCTGAACTCTGACTCCACACTGAGAACCTTAGAGCCACGGAGCCGGAGGAGCAGGAGCCGGAGGTTCAAAGTACATTCTCTGGAGCTTCCACAGCCCAGTGGGACATCGGAAAGCTCTAGCGACCCTTTCTGGAGTAGCCCTGGCCGATCCTCCCTGGCAGATAGCTCAGACACAGGCTTGCGGCAGTACCGCCTGTCTGTCCCCATGGAGCCTGAGATGCGAATGCATGCTCTTCAGGAAAACAGCTTCCAGAAACTCGAGGCAGAGACAAACGTTGATACTGGCTTCACCGTCATCAATTCCAAACCCAGGCAATCTTTTATGAGATTTCCCAGGGATTTTCAGAGCAGTCAGCCACCATGCTGCTTGTCTGGCTCTTCCTTCGAGGCGACCGCTTCCTCAAACCAAAGACTCTTAAAGGACAGACTCCGTCCTCTGTCACTTCCTGGTCAAAGGGACTTTGGTATAAAGAAGAGAATCTCAAAATGTGCCCACCATCTTCCTGTCCAGGGTGAAGAGAAAGAAGAATTCTTCATCTAGCATAAAATGAATGTGTCTCTCTAAGAACAGATAAGATAGAATGTTCTAGAAACGAAGCATTGTATTAGTTGCCCCTCTCTCTGAAATAACTGACAAACGCAACTTAAGGAAGACTATTTTGTCTAATACTTCAGTGGGAAGGTCCATTCGGGAAGTCACGGAAGCGAGAGTGAGGCAGCTGATTATGTACCTTTATGGTCAGGTGGCAGAGCAGGAGGGAGTATGCCCGGGCTTGGCTTGCCTTTTTTTGTTGTTGTTGTTGTTCCATCTGGGACTCGGGCCCATGGAAAGACCCACCCTCTTTCAGGGTGGGTCTTCCTTCCTCAGTTAAATCTTTCTGGAAACACTCTTACAGATATACCCAGAGGTGCATTTCCACGGTGAGTCTAAATCTAGTTAGGTTGACAATGAAAGTTAGAACTACAGACGCTCCAATGTGGGTCTCTGTCTCTGTCTCTGTCTCCTTTCATCGCCTGATGAAGGTTACTATTCAGGAGGATGACTATATGTTTTTCTTTGGGTTCTCCTTCTTATTTAGCTTCTCTAAGATCACGAATTACAGGCTCAATGCCCTTTATTTATGGCTAGAAACCAAATATGAGTGAGTACATCCCATGTTCCTCTTTTTGGGTCCAAATCAGGAGCAGAAGGAGAGAGAGCACGAACAAGGAACTCAGGACCGCGAGGGGTGCACTCACACACTGAGACAATGGGGATGTTCTATCGGGAACTCACCAAGGCCAGCTGGCCTGGGTCTGAAAAAGCCTGGGTTAAAACCGGTCTCGCTGAACATAGCGGACAATGAGGACTACTGAGAACTCAAGAACAATGGCAATGGGTTTTTGATCCTACTGCACGTAGTGGCTTTGTGGGAGCCTAGGCAGTTTGGTTGCTCACCTTACTAGACCTGGATGGAGGTGGGTGGTCCTTGGACTTCCCACAGGTCAGGGAACTCTGATTGCTCTTAGGGATGACGAGGGAGGGGGACTTGATTGGGGGAGGGGGAGGGAAATGGGAGGCGGTGGGGGGGAAGAGACAGAAATCTTTAATAAATGAATAAAAAAAAAAAGAACTACAGATGCTGATCCAGGATCGTCCAGTTTCTTGCTTGTCCGCGAGGGCCCCAGGCTCTCAATGCACATGTTCATAGTGCTTTCATTTCCAGTATTAGAAGTCCATAGGGAGCTGATAGTTTGCGGGCTGGATGGAAGAGAATTCAGCCAGGCAGAGGAAGAAAGCCCAATGCCTGGACTTCTCAGTGGCACACTAACCCAGCTACATGTGTTGGTTCAGCACCCTGATTAGAACGCTGGCATTATATGCAAATGAATCACATGCACTATGCAGATATGATTAGTGGGTATAATTTGGCTTTAATTTTTACTTGAGATTGCATGGCTTATTCCCCCTGGACAGTGGGAACTATTTATTCTTTAGTGCTTTTTAATTTTTATGTGACCTCCTTTGGTAAGTAGGCCCTGTTTACCACAAACCCTCTTGTGGTTTTCCTTTTAAAGTTCTTTGCATCTGAAATGACTGAAAATGCAAGTTGTTTTAAAAATTATTACCCCCTGCCCACCCAGTTTAATTAGTGAGAGTACCAGAAGCCAGAAAGCTAGGGCAAAGTGAATGCTAGACTCTGCGATAATTCTATTACTCATTTGTTCATGGCCTACTCTGAAGGGGGCAGCACTTCTTGTTAAAAAACCGAGGAAGACATGGGATGGTTAGCAAATTTCAGCTCTCCGCTGAGCACAGCCGAAAGGTTGTGCTGACTGAGTCACTAAAACAGGACTTGTGAACTAGATGTCTTTTGGAATCTCCCAGGGTTGTCTGCAGTTCTTGTTCATTCGTTTATATGTTCACCCCATTCATCTTTTTGCCTGCCTTATGATGTATGATATGATACTTAGACATTTTGTGGCCACCAAAATCAAAAGGTGGCAATGGTTTTGCAACTGCAATAATCTACAGAACCAACTCTTTAAAGAGGGGTTGAGAGTCAGACTTAGTCCACAATCCAGGCCCATGTTTGCCATATAAAGAAGCACTGCCTTTGTTACTTGTCTCATTGTTTTGATAAAATACCACAGCAAAAGCAAGTTAAGGGAGGGAGGAATTGCTTTGGCTGACAGTTCCGGGTTGCAATCCATGATGATGGGATCCTCCTGGTTCCAGAGTTTGAGGTCTCTGGACTCATTGCAGCTCGAAAACAACCCACCCACTTTTAGGCATATTCATCCTATCTCAGTTAACCTAGTCAAAATAATCCCTTGCACGTACTCCCAGAGACTTGACCTAGGCATTCCAACCCAATCATGCTGGCAATATCAGCCATCGCACAAGCATTCGTAACCTGCAAGTGGAGACGGCGAATATTATAAATTGCAGTTTACGGTCTTGAAATCCTAGTCACAAGGAACACAATCTCTGTAGCCCAAATGCTGGAGTGTGGGGATTAGGTGTATACTCATG